GAGAGGGGGAGGGGGAGAGAGGGGGAGGGGGAGAGAGGGGGAGAAAGAGGGAGGGAGAGAGAGGGAGGGAGGGAGGGAGATCAATCTAAGGAAGTTCACTTAGGATGGCAGATAAATCATCTGCTAAATCCACTTTAGTAGAACCTGCAACACCAGCCACCATTTATGGAAATACTGCCATTTCTCTAGGATTATAGACCCATCTCTTTGGCAGGTTATCTTTTCTTGCACTGAAATGACAGTCTTGCTTTGAAATGGAGGTTTTTTTCTCATCTGGTCACCTCCCGATGAACTCTAGTCCTCCTGTCCCTTTAATGTGGGCAGATACAGCTGGTCTAGAATACAGTGGTGTGGTTGTTTCAATGGTGGAGATGCCTTGTGATGAGACGCTACCGCTCTGAGATTTGTTCTGTTTACTGTTTAGTTTTCTGGTGCAGTTCATAGTATAAAGTCCTTTGTGGCATAAAGCCTTGTTTTAATTTGAGGGATCATCTCTCTCCAAATATCCCTGCCCATCTGGTGAGATCGGACACATCTCACATGAGCATGTTTTGGGTCCCAATAATGAAGCAGGTGCATCTTGTCAGACCCAGGATGAAGGCCTCAGTTGGGATCCCTGCTTTCTCCTTCCAGAGGTCTGGATGGTTCTCACCCTGAGGATGTTCAGGAAGTTCCAAGAGAAGAGAATATAGTTTCAGCTGTGGAGCCTTTGTGTTGTCTGAGCTTGTTTGCTTGTTTGCTTTAGATTATATTGTTTAGGACTTTGTTTTCAACCAAGAAACAATCAAGAACCTACCAAGGATGCCCCAAAGCAATTAGGCAATTAGACTTTCTGGTTTTTCTTTGAAGATGAGCTGAAGAAGCTTCTTGGATGAGAAACAAAACATCTTCAAAGAAAAACCAGAAAGTCCACTTGCCTCTTGAAAAGTCACCTTTGGAACAACCAGTGGTGGGATTCAAATAATTTAACAACCGGTTCTCTGCCCTAATGATTTCTTCCAACACTAGTCCATCAAACTGCTCAGAAAGTTAACAACCGGTTTTCCCAAAGTGGTGCGAACTAGCTGAAGCCCACCACTGGGAACAACCATGACCTGGATGATTCAGAATCTCCATAGAAACCTACCAGGAAGTTATGAAAGACCTGGCTATTGTCCAAGACTTTGGGGCAGATTGAAGGTTGCATCTGGATGGATTTATTTTTAATCTTTGGGCTGCTTATGGTTTCTTGTATGTTTTCTTTCTTTCCATTTTACTTTTGAACCATAAGCTGCCCAAAGCCATTAGGGGTCAGGTGGCTTCTGAGCTGTATAAATCATCACCATCTTCATCTTCTTCACCATTTCTGTAAACACCACCATCTCCTGCTCTTCAAATCATCATCACATCCTATTCCATTTTATATGGTCCATGATGATGTATCTCGTGGCTTTTATTCTGGCTCTATCACTGCTTCTCACTTTCTGTAGTGGTTCCTCACCTTCTACATTCAAAACTTATCTTAGAGAACTTGGGGGAAAGCAGATCACCCCAGAGCTGCTTTTTCCAAAAGGCAACTGGACTTGGTTTTTCCCCCTTTAAAAACCTTTTTGCTTTTCATCCAAGAAGCTTCTTCTGCAAATGTTTTCAAAGAAAAAAATCAAGGAAGTCCAGTTGCCTTTTGGAAAAAACACCTATGGAAGAAGCATAACAATTGAGAATCTATACAGATGTTCACACTTTACTATGTGGTAAATTAAACACACAAACAAACCCACACAGCTTTGATGTAGTCATTAGGCTAGAAACTTGGAAATCATGACTTGTTGTAGCTCTGTTTTAGGCATAAAGCTAAGTCGGGTGACCTTCGGCCAGTCATTTTCTCTCAGACCTAGGAAGTAGGCAATGGGGAATCACTTCTGAAAAACCTTGTCAAGAAAACTTCAGGGACTTTTCCAGGCAGTCTCTGAGAATTGTGTGAACAGAAAAAATAAATGTATGGTGTATGCAAGTATATTTCTTGACATGCACATAATTATGGATAGTGCCAAATCATGCCCCAATCTGACTGGGTCAGGCCAATCACACAAAGGGACTCAGGATTCACCAAATTTCAGAGGAAGTCAACTAGCATGCAAGACATTCTTAAGATGAAATTAGTTTTTATGCATCTTTAAAATTGATTTTTTTACATCACTGGAAAATCCTAAACACGATTGGCCAGAATCTGCATACATTTCTCTGGGTGCAGCAAAAAAAAAACTTTTTTTATTGGATAATTTGGATTGAAAAAGGTAACAAGTCTGCATGAGACACTATCACAACGTTAAAAAGGAGAAACAATTGCAAAGCAAAAAGGATAAGGCATGGCATGCAATCCAATAAGATCAAAGTGAAACATCACCAGGGCTTAGAGCTTCCAGGTCAGTGGGAAAACAGTACAGAATACAAAGTAACAGGTCACACCATGGTCTTGGAATAATACACAAAGTTGTATGTCCCACACCACTTTGTGTTAAATGTGAGGCTGGCTGACCACTGAATTTCTCATCTCCAATCTCTGCTTGAGCTCAGATACCAGAGCTGTGTCGGCTGCGTGGAGAGCTCCCTTTTTCCTTGCCTGCTTATTTACGAACTTAGGGCTCAGGGATCCTGAAACTGTGGACAATTTCCAGGTGGGTTCCTGGATCTTGAAGAGAGAGGCTTGCGATGGGATTGGCACGGAGGGTGGTGGTGGCGGCAGAGACGGAATCTGGGAACTGTTATTGCTGTTCTCATTCTGCAAGCTGATGTTGTCTTCATTGACTGTAAATTTCTCTGCCGCATGGCTAGAGGACTTCTTGAAGCTCAACCACTGCATCCTAAAGGTACGAGGTTGATAATTCGGCCTCTTTTTGATGATCCGTCGTGCTGGCATGATCCTGGGGGACCTTTTATTGCGCCAGAACATGGCAGTGGAGATGAAAAGGATGACCATCACCATGATCCCAATCAGGCCTGCCAGGACTCCTATGGCCTTCATTGGGTTGTCTTTGGTCTTCATCAGAAAGGCAGCCATTGGTCCTGTGTGAAGAGTCTGCAAAAAAGCACAAAGGGAAGAAATGACATCCTCCAGACCAGGATGGAGATTCCACTTTCATTGGTCCTAAACATCTGACAACTAGAATGGACCAACAATCAAAAACAGGAGTGTCAAACTGGTGGCCCGCGGGCTGAATGTCTCATGACCCACATCCACCCCAGCTCTGTGAAGGGAAGAATGTTGTAATATGTTATGTGGTAAAGTGACGTGGCAAGTTTGACAGCTATGATCTAAACCATTTTGATTTTTGACAGTCAGATTTAAAGAGCCAAGGTGGCGCAGTGGTTAAATGCAGCACTGCAGGCTACTGCTAGATCAGCAGGTCAGCGGTTCAAATCTCACCGGCTCAGGGTTNATCATCATCATCATCATCATCATCATCATCATCATCATCATCATCATGATGCTCTTACTGACATTTTTTCAATCTAACCTGAAGTTGCTAAAGGATTGTAAATTTAGAAATGCAACCTATTTGGACATTGCTAGATTGGGTAAAACTAAACTAATTTAATAGCTTCTTAATTATTGTCCTTTTTAAAGATGCCTGCTTCAACAAGTCATACATTTTCACATCCAGAGCATACGTGATAGCAGTAAGTCTTATTTAGCTGGAAAAAAAGCCAGCTAATTAAAAAAAAGTTCTATGGTTTTCTACGGTTGAAGTTGAAGCTTTGAGGACGTAGTTAGAGAATGGGGTGAAAAGAAAGAAAGTGACATGATAGGGGAGATACATTTGATTAGTTTTATTAACAAAATCACTGGGTGCTTACTTGATAAAGAAGAACACTTTACTCCATAAAAGAACAGCTATTTGGTGGAAAAAAGTGACAAAAAACTGGCTCCTCCTAAATATTTTAAAATTATTTCGACGCTCAGAATCATATTTCTTTTGAAATACTCTTATTTTGGGTTGGTAAAGATGTATTCAAACTTAACTGGATTCCCTGAAAGGATTCCACCAGGCAGCTTTCTTGACAGGAATATTAAAATGATTTGTGATTGCTCTTTGATTTGTGGTGGGTTTGATTGATTTCCCAATTCCAGCTTACAGACCTGGGATTTTTTGATTTCCAAGTCCTAATCAAGCCAAACCTGTTTAGTTTTACAGCCCAGATTAAAATCAACCTGATGTTGCCTCCTGTGAAGACTGCTAACCCTTACTTGCCAGATTATGGGCTATTTCGGTTTTCTGCAAGTCATTGGGCAGAAGCTGATATGATACTACGTGAAATAGAACACCTTCAATCAATAACAGTCAAAGGATCTTCTCCTGAATCTGGAGTTAGTGATTAAATGATTAAGTTAACTGCTAAATATATCTCCTTTTGGAGACTAGAGTTGAGTAGCAGAAGGTAGCAAGGTAGCAAGGAATGTGCCTGCTGAATAGTCACACTATCACAGTGACGTGCGGTGAGGGATACCGTTGGTGAGGCAAGAGCAACGTCCCCGCCGCTGTGTCCGACAGGCGTCTCTTGTTTATGATGGACATAAATGCGAGATGCCTGTCGGACACAGCGGTGGAGGTGTTGCTTCTCGCCGCTGCCGCGCTCTGCCGCCTCGCCACCCGCCTCCTCCATCCCCGCTGACATTCTTGGGAGCAGGTAGGGTGGCTGGCTGGCTGGGAGGAGAAGAGCGGTTTGTCTTTGTGCCGGCTGGCCGGCCAGGNGGGGCAATATGCTGACTCTCTGTAAACCGCTTAGAGAGGCCTGAAAGGCCTATGAAGCGGTATATAAGTCTACTGCTAAGTCTACTGCTATTAAAGATTTAAAAGCCTGTCAGAAGAATTAATTTGGGTTTCCAACTTGAGCTGGAAAAACTAAAAATGAAATCCAGACAGCTGTGAGGAAAGGTGAAATATTCCTTCCCTAAAGCCAAGGGTTTGCCTTTAGGGGCAGCTGCAAAGATCATGAGGATGGAGACATCATTTCATAGGGGAGCTTGTCCTGCATGTGGAAGTGATAGAAAACTTCCCACAAGCCCACAGAGAATCCTGACAGCATTAGAGTAGCAATTATACAATGAAGCAATTCATCCAGGATGCAATTGTAGCGCTCTGTTCTTTGCCATGCAATGCTGGTAGGTTTTGTTAATTGCAAATGGAAATATTCCAGGAAAATTCTTGAAAGGGGTGACCACCTGGCCACTTATGGTACTCTGCACATTAGCCTAAAGAAGCTGGAATTTTGAGGGGCAGGGGAATGATATTCCACAAAAATGGTTCAATATCAATCGATTATATTTCCTTGGACTCTTGGTGGAATTCCATCACAAACCAGGCTCAAAGTGAGATAATTTTATATCTAGAAGGTACTCATCCTCTCAAAAGTTTTAAATCTCCAGAAAACAAAATAATGTTTTAAAAGCAACAGTGAAGAGGATTTGCTAAGCACATTGCTAAATTTTCTGTATCAATTATACTTAGAGAGTCTCAAATCAATTTTCAGTGGCTGAAATTGAGCATGTTCTGTTTTCCTAGCAGTCTTTTATAGATCCTGACAAATCTAAAACAATGCACCTTCACACTGAGATAATCCATTTTAGTTGAGGAGGCAGAGCTTTTTCCTATGGCAAACACCCAAGTCAAGTAATAGGCACTACAGTCTCTCAAGATATTGTATTAAACACAAATGAATGAACTGTTTGTTTAGCAATTTAACACAGACAGTTTTGTGGTGCTCTCTAAATCATTTCCTGGATTTGGTTCTCAGGATGTAGCCTGGAGGCTTTCAGTCTTTTCCTGTAGATGGCAGCAGAGATCATCACGATTTGAGAAACGGTAGAAAGGAAGTCATTCATGCAGCTTGCATACGCTCCCTCCACAGACATTTCTACAGGTCTAAAATTTAGATTTTATGCTTCATTTGGTTTGAGAGAAAAACACAGGTAGTCCTCAATTTATGACCACAACTGAGCCCCAAATTTCTGTTACTAAATGAGACATTTGCCCCATTTTATGACTTTTCTTGTCTCAGTTGTTAAGTGAATCACTGCAATTGTTAAGTTATAACCATGCTGCAATGGTTGTAAGTGTCAAAAATGGTCATAAGTCACTTTTTTCAGTGCTGCTGTAACTTCAAATGGTCACTAAACGAATTGTTGTAAGTTGAAGATTACCTGTAAGATGGTTCAGTGTATAAAGTCTGGGCATATTCACAAATGGGATAAAGTCTCACCATAGAAATAAGGATATAAACAAGAGAAAATAAATCCTTATCAGCAATAGTGGAGATAAAGGTTGAAGGTTCCCAGCCCCAGAAATGGCCCAAATAGGAATAAGAAAATCCCTTAGACCAGTGGTCCCCAACCTTTTTATCGCCGTGGACCAGTCAGCCTTTGATAATTTTAC